TATATATATTGCTGCACAACTAATGAACCAGTCTGTGCCTTTGGAATGCTGCTCAAGAACCAGAAAATGGCTGGCCATGGTGGCTGTCATCCCAGTACTTGGGATGCTGAGGATGGAGGACCACTGGGAATTCAAGACCACCCCAAACTACATAGCAGAACTCTATCTAAAATAAATAAATAAAAGAATTATGGAAAATTTAGTATCACTCAATGCCTTGGGTTTTTTTTTTAATGTATTTAGTACAGGGTCTACAGGGTCTCACTACACAGATCAGATTCGTAGTGATCCTCCTGGTTTCAGCCTCCCAAGCACTGGGATTACAGGCGTGTGCCACCATACCCAGTCTCAATCCCCATCTCAGTGTGCCCTAGGGGAGGAGCTGGCAGGCCAGCAGGGATGAACCCTGGTCCCTGTGTCTGCCTAAGCAGGCACTTTAATCTACTGAGCTATCTGGTCCACATTTCAATGCCTTCTTTGGATAATTGTATTGTAACATCAATTTTTTTCTACATGTACTGGTATCCCCATAAGGTATCCTTCTCTCCAAACTAAATCTTTTCAGACAACATCCTAAGGAAACATTATGCTTCTTTTCCTTACCAATAAGCTATTTTCAAATCACGCTATGTGATGAATTACTTCAGCATATATTCATGCAGTCAAAAATAGTCTATTGTGCCAAGCACTGCACTAGGTACACTGAATATAAGATTCTGTAACAATAATAAGATTCTGTAACAATCCTCAAGGTAGCCCAATGGAGTCAGAAGTACTAAGCTAATTCTAACACAAATTGACTGATTTCTTTCTCCATGCTCTGTCCAACAGAGCCCATGTCTCACTAATGGGCTTTTGACTCTCACTTCCCACCTCTACGCTATAACTTAACCATCTTATTTTTAACTTCACCATGTTTTTAATGAGTTTCTGATATTTTTGCTGTATCTGTTGCTCCTACAACCATTCTACTCCTGCTGCTACCTCTACATAGCAGCCTTTCCTTATTAGGAAAAAAAAATGAATTACATATAAAATCTTCCCAGGGCTGGCAAGATAGCTCAGTGGACTAAGTACCTGCTTAGGCAAGCGCAGGGACCAGGGTTTGACCTCTGGTACCACATGCCATGCCAGCCCCACCCCCAGGCATGCTGAGCAGGTGACCTAGTCCAAGTGTGGTAGCACACGCATATAATCCAAGTGCTGGGGAGGCTGAAAACAGGAGGATTGCTATGAGTCTGAACTGCATAGTGAGACCCTGTACCAAATACATTAAAAAAAAATCCAGATTCCCAAGCTCAGATACACTGTGTGTGTGTGTGTGTGTGTGTGTGTGTGTGCGTGTGTTTACTGATTTTTGAGATAGCGTCTCATTACATAGTTCAGAATGGCTTTAAACTCACTACATAGCCCTGCCTGGCTTTGAATATGATCCTCCTGCCTCAATTTCCTGAGTGCTAGGATGATAGACAGGGGCCACCACACCAAGTTTCCCTATCATTTCTATGTTTCTATGGTTTTCTATCATTTACCTTGAGTGGAAACTTCTGATCTCTAGCCTAATCTAGAGATCAGAGTACTACAGTACAATAGTACACAGGTAACACTAACTAGCTCGAGTAGGCTTCTTTCCATTGCTGGGAAAGTTTAAAAGGAAAATGAAAACTGACAGCTCAGTAATATTCTCTATTTTATAAAGCAAGAAAATACAAGGTAGTGAAATCAATAACAGCAGCAGAACACGAGATATACTTGTTTACACAGATGCCAACATCACAGATGCCAATTCTTGCCTCCAGAAGTAGTTGACAGATATTAGTAGTACAACACGGGACCAGGGAACACTGACTATCACTACTCCAACCTTTTTAAATTGGAAGTGTTATAGAAATAAACATATAAGGGTATAACAAAGACATTTAAGTGTATTGTTTGCTAGTAATGGGGTTTTCACTCTGAACCTCTACAGTTGGCTATGTACAGAAATCATTCTGTTCCGTCAAAAATAGCAATAAGAAATATTTGCTTAAATTTTCTTACCCAACAGATCCATCTTATTCTCCTCTATGAGGCGATTGATCAGACCATTGGCTCTCTCAATTGTGCAGACAGCAACGTCCAAGGAAGAGAAGTGACTTTTTGGAGAGGTACTGCCCATATAGCCATCTACTTTTATTCCTACTTCTTGAAACAGACTCTGAATTGAAAGCAATACAGGTGAAATTGTACTTCATGAGTTATAGATAGGTTCTATCTAAGAAAACAGATATAACTATTTAAAGACACTTAGGAGATTATCAGTTGCTCCTGGCCAAACTCATACTTTTTGGAAACATATACTAAAACTCTGAAGTTTGACATTGACAAAGCTCAATACAAAGACAGAGTCAAAATTAAGATATATCACATACAGGTACAAATTCCCTATGATGAATGTTATTATGCATATCTAAAATGTATCACTAGGGCCAGCTAAATGGCTCAGCAGATTAAAGCGCCTGCTTAGGCAAACTTAGACACACGCAGGGACCATGGCTTGATCCCTAGCACCATATGCCATGCCAGCCCAGCCCCCAGGGTGGGCTGAGTCGGCCATAAAAAATAAATAAAATAAAATTGCAGGAAATTACCTTAAGCACTAACATTTTAAATCTAATAAACAGCGAAAACTAGGAAATTTTAATTAATGCTAATAGAATATTTTAAGAAACAAACATACTTCATAAGGAAAACAATCTTATCCTACTAAGCAATATTTGTTTAAATAATGGGAAGAAGTTCTTACAAGTCAAATTCAACTCAGGGCCAGGGAGATAGCTCAGTAGAATAAGCACTTGCCTGGTAAGTGCAGGTCCTGAGTTCAATCCCCAGTACAAGAAAAAAAAAAAAAAAAAAACACCTCAATGGGACTATGGTATTAATTTTTTCTCTTTTTCTAGTTTAACTTTTAATTAATGTACCTTCTCAATATAAAGGGTCCTTTCATCATTTTATTACTTTGGGTCTAAGTTGAGAGAATGCTGGTCTACAGGGTGTACAGGGTCTCACTATGTAGATCAGACTTATAGTGATTCTTCTGTTTTCAGCCTCCCAAGCACTGGGATTACAGATGTGCGCCACCATGCCCAGTCTCAACCACTGTTTCAGTATGCCCTGGAGCAGGGCCAGCAGGTCAGGGCTGGCATGGCACACTACCGGGGATGGAACCACGGCCACTGCCCTCTGCCTGAGCAGGTGCTTTAGTCCACTGAGCTATCTGGTGGGCCCTTATTTGACTTTTGAACTAACTTAAAATGGTATATAGAATCACAGAACTTTATAGAGTTGTTTATTCAATAAATTTCTTCTGAGCATCTGAGTTAATCCAGTGCTGAGAGATAACAGCCAGTGCTTTGCACTGAAAACAATAAGGCCCAGCATACTCTTTCTGGGCTGAAAATAGTGACCAAAAGGACAAGAACCCAGATTTTTTGGACTACTAGAATAGTCTTTCCATTCTAATAACCTATTTTTCACTGAAGAAACCACAATAGTAAATGTATTGCATTTGACATGCACTCGCTCCTTGTCATACTAGACCTACAACTCATTTAAAACACTGATTCTTAATTTTCAGGGCATATAATGGAACATTAATAATGCTAATTAACTATTCTGTTTGCTTCCTAAGAAAACATTTATAAATTTTTACACAATAATCACTTGTGTGACTTTCTCTTTTATGCAACAACAGTTTTTAATATTTTCCTCTATAAGTCTTTAACATTTTTAATAGTCAACTTTTAAAAATAGATGGGATATAGTAAAAGAAACTGTGCTTTTTACCTGCTTTTTTAAATTCTTTTGGGGGGGCTACCAGGAATCAAACTTAGGACCTCATGCTTGCCGGGCAGTTGCTATGCTGCTGAGCTGTATCCCTGGTCCTGCTTTTATAAATTGTATTTCAAATGAATAAAGATAAGGATTCCAATAATGGGGACTTTTACTATTTCACACTTAGTATTTACCTGGAGATAGTATTTCTTCTCTTTAGCCACAGAAACAAAGGGAAGAATAAACAAAGCTTTCTTCCGCATCTCCAAAACACGCTTCAAAATAAGTAATTCTGCAACAAGGGTCTTCCCAGCACTTGTAGGTGCTAAAATATAATTGTTTGACAAAGTTAGGGATGAAGATGTAGCTCAGAGGTAGAGCACTTACCTGGCACCCACAAACCTGTAGGTTCAATCTCCAGCACCACACACACATACAGTTAAAATGAAAACAGGTAGTATTGGGTACACTGCATTAATAAATGTTTTAAGCAATATTCAGTACTACAGAGCCTACAGCTATTCTATCATTAAGGCCCAACTAGCATTTTAAACTTTATACCTTGAAAGTCCCCTGACTTTAAAGCAGCTTTCTAAATACCTTCTCACTGAAAGCAAAAAAAAAAAAAAAAATTAAAAGAGATTTTATCAGCAATAAATGATTGATATTACGGAGTACCTAGCTTATATCTAAAGATTCCCACACCAAAAAAAAATTTTTTTTCATTCACTGAATGATTAAAAGCACTGCTTTGAGGAGGATGGACAACTTTAACATCAGGTGATAGGAGCTATGACGGAAACTGAGGAAGGCCAGTTGGAAGGAAGCTTATGGAAAGGAAATAGAACCTATGAGAGGGAAGGCAAAAGAGAAGAGGTAAAGAATGCAAAGTGTAACAAATGACATGCACAGAAGTCTGGAGGAGATCCTGGCCCACTTAGACAACTGTAAGGAATTTGCCAAGCCTGGAGTATGAAGTAGTTCTGGTAGTAGAAGACATAAAAGCAGCATGTGGAGAAGAATTTTAGAGTCCTACTAGGAAAACTAACTAGACTATCCTAACATCAATGCAGAATGATGGATGAGTTCTTTAAAAGGGAGTGATAAGAGAACATTTGTACTGTTATAAGCCACATTGGCTGAAGGAGTGGGGTAAAACAGGAAAAGAGTAAATTAGTTATGAGACCACTGTCTAATCCAAAAGAAAAACGATGAAGAGCTGTACCCAGCAATGGGTAATAAGAACAAAAGGTAGACAAAACTATTTAAGATCAAGAGATCCTAAATGATAAGTGATACTACTTCCAGACTCAACCAATCTAACTCCACAGGCTGAACTTATGTCTGCTGATAAGGTAAATCCCTAATTCTTTTTTGCAGCCATAATGAAAAATCGGGGTGACTCACAATTTCAGAAAATACTGACACAAAGGAATCACATGTTATCAAATGACTAAAGTCAATATAGCAAGCACAGATCAAAAATTACGTATATCAAAGTTATCCTAGAAAGCCCATATAAATCTATAAAACATATACATATATATATATATATATATATTTCTGTACATACAACTCTGTTCAAAGAGGTCACTTTATAAACATATAAGGTATAATATTCACATCCTGAAACCAACTGAGAGCAAATGGTGAAACAGCAAATTCAGATCTCCCATCAGACACAGTGTGGAACACACACATGCCTGTAGAGGAAGCAGAACTGCATACTTTATAAATCATAATATTACTTGCTTTCTCTCCCACCCCAGCCTTACAGTGGAATTTTCCAAATTTAAATATGTTTATGTAGGCTGGATGTAGTAGCACACAGCTGAAATCCCAGCACGCAGGTGGCTGAGACAGGAGGATCACTAGTTCTAGGCCAACTGTAAGGAATTTGCTTACTAGTTCTAGAAAACTGCAAGGAATTTGCTAAGCCTGGAGTATGAAGTAGTTCTGGGAGTAGAAGACATAAAAGCAGCATGTGAAGAAGAATTTTACTAGAACATAGTAAAACCCTCAGAAAGACACATAAATAAGCATCTGATAACTCTACACTTGCAATGGACATTTTAAGATTTTATTTATAAAGTCTTGTCTCATGTACCTTTAAAAACAAGTAACTCAGGGCCCAGGAAATGGCTCAGTAGAATAAGCACTTGCCTGGCAAGCGCAAGGGCCTGAGTTCAATCCCCGGTTCCACCCAAAAGAAAAAAAAATCCACATTTTGGCCTGGGATATAGCTCAGCGGCATAAGCACCTGCTTGGCAAGCACAAGGTCCTGAGTTTGAGCCCCTGTACTGCAAAAAAATAAATAAATAAATAAATAAATAACAACAGTATCCTTTACACAGGTAAGATTAAAATAGTAGAGAATTAATGTGCATAAAGTACCTGAATAAACTAAATTCTTTCCTTCCAAGACCTGTCCAAGCAAAAGGCATTCTGCCTGCCATTCAAACATCTTTCTTACACCAAAACTGTAATATTTCTGCAGAACTGCTTCAGGAAGCCCCCAATTTGCCAATAACAGCTTGTCTATTTGGTCATCCGGAGCTAGGTGTTTGCATACGCCTTTCAGGAAAAAAGAAACAAATACTTTAATTTATTTCAAACTTTGGTAGTTAGCCCTGCACCGTGTTGGAATTCCTCTATGTTAGAATGAAGCTACTTAAAGCATTTTGAACTTATGAAGCTCTTAGGAGACTTTCCTGATATAGAAAAGTGATAGTAAAATGCTACCTACTGGTTAGAATTTTTTGATTTGAGACAGTCTCTCGCTCTGTAATTCAGGCTGGCCTTTAACTCCCGGGATTCTCCTGCCTCGATTTCCTGAGTGCTGAGGTTACAGGCACGTGCTACCAAGCACGGCTTGGACAGAGGCTTTTAAACTTCCTTAAAACCCCAAACCACCCTTTCTTCCCAAAATGCGCTAATACACAAAGGCGTGTCGGAATCGGGGCGGGGAGGAGGGGCGGATTAGGGATGGGGGCTCCCCGCGGGCGATATGTAAACTTTAGGAAGGTTGCTATCCTAGTACTCACTAGGGTGACTACCCTAGATAAAGTCCTGGCCCCCGCGGGAGGTAGGTTGGGCGAAACACACCCAGGTCCTGAAATTTAACCCTCACTCGCGACCAATTTGGAAAACCTCACAATCCCTCCCGGCCTGTGTCGGGACTGCGCGGCCGGCGCCTCGGCGCGCTAATCCGCGCCAGGGAGCAGGCTTTGGTCAGCTAGGAAGCTGCAGAGATGGAAGGCCCCGCGCCGGGCGCGCGCCTGCAGTCCTGCGCTTGAGGCGGTGAGCCACGATTCTGAGCTCAAGGCGAGCCTCAACTACAAAGAGACGCTGTCTCGAAAAGAACAAGCGCAAAGAACGAAAAACGCCGAAGCCAGCTAAACCGCGCCCACGCGCGGCCTGTGCAGCAGGCGGCCGCGGCGCCCGGCTCGAGTCCCACAGAAGCGGCTGGGGCCGGCCGGCACGCAGGCGGGCGGGCGGGCGGGAGCGCCTACCTTGCAGCA